GGTAATCTCAATGTAATGGTAATATTGAACTCGAAGTGAACTTCTGCGCTCCAGTCACCTTTTCCTCAAAAAACTGTCATTCCACCATCAATATACTGAACGCTGAAGTCCTCTTCTTTATTGGTATTACAGTGTAACCCGGATATAAGAGAGTTGTCGGGACCGGAGAAGAAGTCTCTTATATCCGGGTTTCTCTTATATCCGGGTTTGGTCTATTTTATATACATTATCACAGGCTCTAATTTGGAACCAGTGAAAATCTCTCTTATATCCGGGTTTCTCTTATATCCGGGTTACACTGTATTACATTTCGCATCAGTTGAGGATTACTAATAGTAGTAACAAGATGAACAGCACATGTAACTCAAAGAGATGTTGGCATTCCACACTACTTCAAGCAAAAGGTTAGGAAGGAAACCCTCATCAATAATGGAAAGAGGAATAACAGTTACTGGACTTGAGAAACCTATTTTCCTGAAAAATAGTTTTAAAAGAGAAGATTTCAGAAATTTCGACTGAAATTAGTATAGAGAATAGAAAGGGTGATCCGAATAGTAACAGAGGGGGTCAACCACCTGCCTATAGCCGGGGCTCCAACAGGTGCCTCAACTCTGGGTCAAAGTGAACCCGGAAATACCAGCAATCAAGAGGTGGTTCCGCGCTCTTCATAACCTCTTGATCAGAGGTCTTGCTGTCGGATATAGTTTAACGTCTTGCCCAGAACGCGGATGTAGTTCATCGTCATACCCAGGACGAGCATCCTAACGAGCTCAGATTTTGTTAGCTGTATGCAATCGCTTTCTAAGATCAATAGTCAAAAAATGCTTTGAGCGAGTAAAACTTGGAAGCCTTAGTAAAGATCATCCCTGTTCGAACATTGTGATCTGGCGTTACAGAATCACAAACAAAGAACTGTAGCAAATAACAGAAACCACATCACTTGAGGACTGCTAACAGCAGCAACAAATAAAATGGATAGCACTTGTAACTTAAAGAAAAAAATAATGGCGTAATCAAGATGTTAATATTCACCCCACATCAAATAGAAGGTTAGGAAGAAGAAAAAAACATCAATACTGGAAAGAACACTAACAACCAATGGACTTGAGAAACCTATTTTCCTTTATGGCAGCGAATGTTGGACGGTCTCCTCAAAGATGAAGAAGAGACTCGAGGCAACGATGACATTTTGGAGAGGATGCAAACAAAGAGGAAGCTTATACTTAACATCAGGAAGAGGCAGTTGAAATTTCTGCGTAATGAGGAAAGAGGGCTTGGAGAACCTGATACTCACAAGGTGGATAGAGGAGAAAACAATGCGTGACATACTTAACGCGCTTAAGCAAGTGGATGGTAGAACAGGGCCTGGGGAAAAATAACAAAATAACAAAACTTATTGAGAGCTACAAGGGACAGGAGGAGGTGGAGAGCCATGAACGCCTACTTCCAGAAGGAACACAGCATATAAAAGAAGAAGAATATAAACATTATGTTATACCATCAAAATAATCCTTTTTTGACACTTTTAAGATTACAAGGTACTCGCTTGATACTTCGTCAATGCCAACATAATCGGACTTTGTAATCACAGATACCAATTATAATACGCTGTTGAACAATACTAGTGTCAGACGTCTCACAAGAATACTAATACCAATAGTATTTCGTATAGTGAATAGAGTAGAGATCCAAATATTGAATACTAATAGAAGATAGAGGAGGAAGCAAACACGTAGTAAAGGGGATAGACTAAAACTAGTGAACTCATCATACGTCACGTCTTCTTCTTCTTCTTCCTCTTCCTCTTCTCTTCTCTCTCTCTCTCTCTCTCTCTATATATATATATATATATATACAACTAATTCAATAATGAGATTGCCTGTGTTTATTCATTGGCAATCTATGTCAGTCAGTCATTCAGTTATGTGTCAACTAATGTAATTTTTAAAGTATTATAAATATATATATATATATATATATATATATATATATATATATATATATAGAGAGAGAGAGAGAGAGAGAGAGAGAGATAGAGATAGAAAAGAGAGAGAGAAAAGAGAGAGAGAGAGAGAGAGAAACCTCATATGATGAATAGTTCTATTTCAATTTCAACCGAAGAAAAATTAGTCTGAGTTCGTATACCGGGGATGGTTTTCTGTCGGTTGAAATAGGCCTATTCCCCATACGAGTGAGGTAATTTTTGGAGTTTTTATTGTGTACTAACTAACTAATATATATATATATATATATATATATATATATATATATATATATATATATATATATATATATATATGCAATTTATTATATATTTATTTATATATGATATATGCGCTGTACTTATTGGTAACCCAGGGTCACAAACTCGCATCAATCAACTATATATATATATATATATATATATATATATATATATATATATATATATGTTGTAACAGTAAGATATATAATCCGGTGTTCTTATAGATATTTTTTATTTTTACAAAATAGTGCTCAATTTAAATTTACAGGGCATTAATATTATAAATTAATTGATTTAAATATGTTTTTCCGCTAAACAGTTCTAACCGTGTTCAAAAAATGGAAGCTGAAAGCTCCAATTTTAATTTTGTAATTAAATTAAAGACATTAGTTCCATTTCATCCTCAAGCGAATTTTTGATTCCATTTTTGCAACATGGTTAGAACTGTGTAGCGAAAAAAAATTATTTTAAATCAATTAATTTATATATATATATATATATATATATATATATATATATATATATATATATATATATATATAGTTGGATTGATGCGAGTTTGTTTTCATGGTAAATAATTTTGCGAATGGACATGCTTATAAAGATGCGTAAATTTCAAGATTGGTTATTCCTAAATTTTCGCTTCAGCATGAAACAGGGCTTGCTACTTTAATTCAATTTAATTTTAATAATTATATTGAGCTTTTCGGCTCTCGTTTTTGAAACATGAGAACTCTTACGTAGCGACGGAATCATATTTTTTTAAAAATAATTATAATTTAAGCTCTACTTCTGTATGGAGCACTGTTTTTAAAAAAAATAAAAGCAAAAATACTAAAGAACTCCGGATTATTTACCTAACGTGTTCTTTCCTATTTTTCTATATATCTGCACACACACACACACACACACACACACACACACACACACACACACACACACACACACATATATATATATATATATATATATTGTTATTGTTCATTTATTTTGTTTAAACGTTATTTCTGATGGATACTTATATTAGAATAGACGATCTTTTTTAAATAAAAATATTTTAAAAAAATGTGGTTTAAGCAGATAAATCTTTGTAATATTTGGCCTCGAAGACGCTCATAAGTTGACTTTTAAAAATGTTATGATTTTTAGTTTAGAGTCGACCATATATATATATATATATATATATATATATGTGTGTGTGTGTGTGTGTGTGTGTGTGTGTGTGTGTGTTTGTCACTTACGTTTATGCGTGATACATGCATAGGCGATCATGTATCTTTCGATACATGGCTGACGAGGTAGATTTTTTCCCGCAGTAGGTTGCCATTTCTTTTTGCAGTAGACCTGTTGTCATCCAAGGCTATAGAACCCAGTCTGTCCTGCTATTTACCCACAGAGAAGGGTATCCCAAGAGTATTATTAGCACGTAATGGATTCGACTGGAATTCGAACTCGGCTCTCCGATTCCTCAATCCGAGCCTCCTTCAAGTGTCAACAGCGAGACTTTATTCTTATATAACAATTTACCATTACCATCGGTGTGTATGTTGGACAGTAATAGTACATATAGGGTTCGGTACTATCCGCGATTTTCAGATATCTGTTTGGGATTTTAGGACGTATCTGCCGTGGGTAAGAAGGAACTGCTGTATTAGATTTGCTTCTGGGACGACTTAATCATGTGAGCAAATGAACGCGACGCATGGGCACACATGTATTCACGTCATATAGGCTAATAAATAAAAACAAAATTAAAAGACATCTCCCTCCGTTGACATCTCGGCGATATCTGTGACTCCATTCCCTCTGCTTGGCGCCCCCCCCCCCAATAAATGTGGGCGCTTAGACGGCCATCAACAGTGGACAAAAGGCTGAAAGCCTTGTGGGAATTGATCCCTTTATTTGTACATCAGTTTCTATTGCATCGTGGTTTTAGAAAGCGTGGTGCGGGCTCTTGGAGTAAAAACGTAGTCGTGGGAAGGGCTGTTTACTCCGTGCGGGTGCTAGTGGGGGCTGTTGCCGGATCAGGCCAACCTTTAAGCGATTTAGCGAGTTAACGCCCACGACCCTAAATACGAGAAAGAGAATTATGGGGAAATACACACAACACACATGCGCGCGCACACATACACACACACAAACATGCAGGGCACATACATAAATATGGTAACTGTACCAGTATATATATATATATATATATATATATATATAGATAGATAGATAGATAGATAGATAGATGAATGAATGAATGAATGAATAGATATAGAGATGATAAATCTCAGAAGAATAAACATGGATAGAATGAGATATATATAGATGGACAGATGATATATATATATATATATATATATATATATATATATATATATATAGATAGATAGATAGATAGATATGAACAGTCTGGGATAGATGAATAGATGATAGACAGGCTGAGACAGATACATACGAACATTGATGAATGAATGAATAGATGAATGTAACTGAAACTGAATCAAAATGAGATAGATAGATAGATAGATAGATAGATAGATGAAGATATGAACAGACACACAGATGGTAGATGTAGACATGTTTCTCGGGTGAATAAACATTGATAGAATGAGCTATATAGAGATAGATAGTTGATATGAACAGACTGAGATACATGAACAGATAAAACACACACACACACACACACACACACACACACACACACACACACACACACACACATATATATATATATATATATAGATATAGATAGATATGAACAGACTGAGATAGATAGGATAGATAGATAGGATGGAAGATGGATGACAGATATGAAAAGAGATAGATAGATAGATAGATAGATATGAAAAGAGATATGAAAACTGAGATAGATACATACGAACAGGCTGATAGATAGATAGATAGATAGATAGATAGATAGATAGATAGATAGGATTAAATAGGCTTGTGCTGATAATGAAAGAAACAGGCGTGAAAGAGAAAGAGAGAAAGAGGGAGAGAGGGAGAGAGAGGAAGAAAATCGAGAGAAAGAGATCTGGTGAGATATTTAAAAGGAGACTAAAAATGATAAAGGAATAAAAAAAAAATAGAGAGAGCAAATGTGAGAGTACGAAAAAGCCGAGTGAAGGGGGGAGAGTTAGCGATCAAGAGAATTAGAGAGAAACCAGCAAACAAAACCACCACCGCCACCACCACCACCACCACAAACAACAACATCAACAACAAAACGTATTACTAAAATTAGGAAAAGGAAAAAAAAAAAGAAAGAATGAGAGAGTGGGGAACAAAAAGAAAATGAGAGCGCAAAAAAAAACAAACAAACAAAAAAACTGTAAATGTGTTTGTCTAAAAATGGCGAAGGTTGAATTGATTGAAAGAAAGAAGTGAAACTCATAATACATTTGGCGGATTGAGACGAAATAAAGAAAATTGAAAGAAATGATGAAAAATATCATTTCGAGAGGAGAAGGGACTTCTTCCTGTTTCTGGGCAATTACTTTCTGCTCGACGCGTATCGTGTCAAGTGTTGTTTTATACTTTAATACTGAGATAATATACTGACATTACAACCAGCTTCTCTACTCGTGACCCCTTTAATGATTATGTCCCCTTACCGACGTCATTATTATTATTATTATTATTTTTTTATTGATTATTTATTAGCTGTGGCTCACCTTCCCATTTGCAACGATCTCTAAGTTTTTAGTTTAGTTCTGTTTTTTATTGGTTTGGTCAAAGACATCATTTTTTTTTTTTTTTTTTTTTTTTACTAATATTCACCCTATCCAAGGGTCAAGATTATCTCAAGTTAGAGGGTTAGTTGATTGTCGTATTATCAGTAACGCTAAGCGAGTAAGAAGCGTATTTTTGGAGAATATGCAAGAAAGATAACGGTTAACACTAGACTTTCTTTTTTTTTTTTAAATCACTTCACCCCCAAAGCAAGGCGATAATGTCCCTAAGACGCCAGGAGTTACTAGGAGGGAAAGAAAATAAGAAAAGTTTAGAAAGAACCGGAAACTTAATCCTGAATAAGAAACAGGGGATTGCTCCTGTTCAAAATACCCGGGGAGGATTCCTTGGAAAGGTTAAGAATGCAGTGATCAGGGAAGCACCCTCTCGGGAGTCTGTTCCAAAAAAAGTAGCAGTTCTTGCGAATGGAACTTCCTCCTTACAAATGGAATACGACGGGAATGAGAAGGGTTCAGATTACTTTACATGGCATGGCGGGTCTTAGTCGCCATGGTTTGAATTAGTGGAGTGTAGCTTTTCAGAACAGTTGCTAGAGGCTTGCAACATTTCATCTGTGGGAAAGGAGTTTATAGGCTGGGAAATAATTCATCGCCCACAAGGCGGCGTAGACGCTTTTGAACTCTATCGAGACTGGAAAGTGAAGACTGTGCAGCTCCAGCCTATATATGGCAGCAGTACTTCATTTTCGGGCTGATCTGCTTCTTGTAAAGATAGTGCACAGCAGTCGGCATCAGCTAGTTACCGGAAGAGTAAAAAGAAGTGATCATTTTTCTTGTATCTTTATAACTTACCCCCTTGCGTCTTAGTGGCTCTATTGCCTTGCTTGGGGTGACACCGACTAAAGAAAATAAAACTGCTAAAATTAAGGAATCTAGACCAAGCTCAGCAACATTGATATATTCGGGAAAGATAGAATCATCAAGAATCTATACTGGCAGCAAACAGCATGCATGCTAATTGAGAATGAGTTCAGTGAATATACACAAATAGAAAGGGGCGTAAGGCAAGGGTGTGTCTTCTCACCGGACTTATTCAATCTATACAGCGAGGCAATTCTGAGAGAATTGGAAATCCTACCGGAATTCATCGTTGGCGGCCACAATCTTACCAATATATGATTCGCAGACGACACAGTACTAATAGCAGGCACGGAAAAGAAACTACAAAACCTCCTACAGAATGAGAGCGAGAAGAAAGGACTAAGCATAAACTACAAGAATACAGAATTCAGGATCATCAGTAAGAGGATGAGCCCGAAATGCGATTTGCAGGTCAGGGACACTAAAATTAAGCATGTGCGGAAGCGTTATTTGACGGAGGACGGTAGGTGCGACGCTGAGATCCGAAGACATATTGGGATTGCCAAGGATGCATTCCAAAAGCTAGGCAGAGTATTACGAGACAGGGGGATTTCGTTGGTAACAAAGAAAAGAGTACTGAACTGCTACGTAATATATGTCCTCCTTTACGGAAGCGAATGTTGGACAGTCTCCTCAAAGATGAAGAAGAGCCTCGAGGCGACTGGGATCCGTAGACGTACTTGGGATGGTCAAGGACGCATTCCAAAAGCTAGGCAGGGTATTACGAGAGAGGAGGATTTCTTTGGTGACAAAGAAAAGAGTAGAGCTGCTACGTGATATATGTCCTTCTTTACGGCTGCGAATGTTGAATGGTCTCCTCAAAGACGAAGAAGAGACTCGAGGCGACGGAGATGTTGTTCTACAGAAGGATAGTAAGGGTATCATGGAGCGAGCGTGTGAGCAACGATGAGGTTTTGGAGAGAATACAGACAAGGAGGAAGCTTATACTTATACTTATATTGCAAGGAAGAGGCAGATGAAATTTCTGAGACACGTAATGAGAAAGGAGGGCTTGGAGAATCTGATACCCACAGGTCAAATAGAGTGAAAGAGAGACAAGGGAAAGCAATGCATGACATATCTGGCGGGTTAATATCTAGGCATACAATAACAATTTATGGAAGCACTTCCAAAAATCAAGGTCATCAGAGCTTTGTAACTGATCTCAACTCTGATATAAAAAAATGGCTTTTAGCTTACAATACCTCAAAAACAAAGCTAGTATCAATTCACCATCACCAATCGGACACTGCATTTTCCTCCAGCCTCGATGAACGGTTGCTCTCTCAAAGGGACTCAGGTTCAACCCCGACCTAAAATGGAACTCATATACAACCTAACAGCATTCTATCCTCGGTTCTACCTTCTTCTTGCTTTTATCTGCCTAGAAACATTCTCAGATCATCAGTGAACATCTACGCAAACAATACAACAATTTATGGAACCTCCTCCCAAAATCAAAGTATCTGAACCTGGCAGTTAATCTCTCTTCTGACCTGACTCTTACATTTGATCAGGAGGAAAACTAGACTTGTAACCAGGGCCGGCGCATCTTACCCACGAAAACCCCAACTGGGGAAGAGGAGTTTTTTTTGTGGGGGGCTCCGTGTTGGCCTCTGCCATATTTTTTCAGCTCATTTTTGTCGCCATTTTAAAATTTATTTTTAAACTGACGTCATATTGTCAGTCATCAACTAATAATCTACATCGTGTATTTACATGGCCAGTACGGTGTTTACAGCGCAGGAATCCCCGATGAGGCTGGAGCCTCAAAAGAGCTAGTTTCAGCAGCGTTTTTTGGCTTTTTGTACTTTTGCCATACCTGAACGTACCTATTCTATTATTAATAGACTCTCCCACACATAATAAGTAGTAGTAGTAGTGGTAGCGGGCGCCAGTTGAGCTCAGTGGTGTTGAGTGAGTCAGTCGATGTCGGACATTGAAGTATCAACCATCACAACTAGATTTCAGATTCCTAACGTTTTGTACGTCGAACCTAATTTAGGACGACTTAGTGAAATACAAGCCTCCACTGTGAAAACTACTCTACAACAACTTTTTACTTTTTTTCTACCGAAGTTATTTTGTCAATCATCAACTATAATAATCAACAGGGCCGATGTTTATTACCTCGAACCTCTCAACCGCGCGGGTCCCCATGACTACTGGGGAAGGAGTGTTAATTTCAGTAAAGCTTATTTTTTAAATTGTAATTTTCTTTCTGATCAATTAAGAGGGTAATATATCTCGGTAAAATCATTTTTTTATTCCGAGATCATCCACTAAGGAAGATCTCTGATTTTTTTTTTACTAATACTAACCAGAAGTCCACGGCTAGTAATTAAAATAAAATTTCTAGTCCCTATTTTTTACATTTCTAGAAAGATAAAATCGAGAAAATGATCATTTAAAAAATAAAAATATTTAAATATTTCAACAACACATGAAAAATTCTCCCGAAAAATGAAATATTGTTTTAAAACAATTTTTTAAGACAATCCAGTTTGTGTTGTGTTGGAATCTTTGTAAAAACTTTTTTTTTTTTCAGCGAAGATGCGTCGGCGATTAATCTTTATGGAAATATAAAAATTTGCGACTTAAACATTTTTTTTCGAGTAAAATTTTCTCATGAAAATATTGGTGGGTATTACAAAAAAAATATTTTCTTAGATTTTTTAAAAATAAAATAAAACCTATTCTTTATAAAAGTAAATAATGAATATGTACTGAAATTTTCATTTATATTCGATAATACCCTGATTTTTGGTAATTTAAAAAATGTGCTGTTCTCACCCCCCTCTCTCATACCAATTTGCCTTTGAGGGTTTGTGGCCCCCAGGTTGGGAAACTTTTAAATCGGGATGCAGAAGGTAGTGGGGGTGCTGCTTGTAACTTAAAATTGCTTAAGAACACAGCTCGTGAAATTCGGACCTTACAAACCAGACGCTTCTTTGATTAACAGGGCGTCAAAACATGACCGTTCCCATTAGGGTTACAGGTTCGATTCCTCTCGGAGAAGCGCATATTTTCTACGAAATTTCTCTAACATTCTGGAAGGTTAATATAATTAATACTGTTTATGTATATGATTTATACATATATATATATATATATATATATATATATATATATATATATATATATATATATATATATATATATATATATATATATATATATATAATCATTTCTAGATACATATGTCCATTTGTTAGATTTAGCTCTGAACCGTTGTATCTTAGAAATGGTTATATATATATAGGAACAGACGAAAACATAGTAAAAATAAGAACTAATACGGCGAAATTTATAGAAACAAGGATCTTTTCATTCATAACGGATTCGGAGGTTTTTGTATATTATTTGAATTGTTTGCGACGATGGATTTCTCGCCAATTAAATCATTAACCTTTGCATTTACATTTTTTTGTGTGAATAATTCATGATATATATATATATATATATATATATATATATATATATATATATATATCAAATATATTTGTACAGTTCAGTTTATATTACAATGAATCATTCATACAAAAAGTAGATTAGTAAAGTTAATGATATAAAATGCCGAAATCACTTTGCAAATAAAATTTTAAAGTTATATTAACCTACGAACCACTCGATGAATGTTATGATCCTTGTTTTTAATAACTACAAGTTGTATAAGGTCATTTTTTTTAATCTGCAAGTACTTTCAACTGTACATACAGCCATCCTCAGGCAGGGAAATTATTTTGCTTTTAGTACATCCAGGTGGCTTCAGAGACGAAAACTTAAATGCGAATTGAAATATGTTTTTTTTTAAATGTGTTATTGTTAACGGATAAAAAATTTTGGAGCGTGAGGTCGCAACGCTAAGGTTGAATTTTTTTGAAAATTTAAGAGAGTGCGTTTTTTTACTAATATGGTAATTTGAGAACTTTTGTTGTTGTAGGATTTTATCTGTCAATGTGGCATGAACTAAATTGTTCAATAAATAGAGTAAAGTTTCAGCTGTTATCCCGAAAATTTGCACGACTGATCAATTCTTTTAAATCACATATGTGGTGCAGTTCAATTTATATTACAATGAAACATTCATACAAAAAATTCAACCTTAGAGTTGCTACCGCACGCTTCAAAAGTTTTCACCCGTTAACAATAACACATTTCTAAAAAAACATATTTGGATTCGCATTTAATTTTTCGTCTCTGCTACAACCTGCCATTTTATAGCATAACTTTACTAATCTACTTTTTGTATGAACGATTCGTTCTAATATATATATAGATATATAATAATTTCTAAGGTTCATCTCTTAGAAATGATTATATATAATGGAAGACTCTTCGGTAAATCGAATCGAGTTCTCTCAGTCACTGTGTTTATCTCAAAGATAAATACTTTAAATTCCTATCATGAATGTCGTGCGTAACGGCTTAGTGCTAGAATGTTGACTGACGCCAGTTCGGTCGGGTTTCGATAATAGTTAGAGGCAACCGGACGTCTAGCCACACTGATGAGCTGTGATACAGTGAAACAGTCTGTCTGTGCATGACAATATGTATCTATCTATCTATGACCATTTCTAAGATACAAGGGTTCAGAGCAATCGAAAAAAATGGATAATTTTGCATTTACACCATTTTGGACAATTTTTCTGTTACAATAGGTGTGTATGTGTAAATATATATATATATATATATATATATATATATATATATATATATATATATATATATATATATATATATATATATATATATATATATATATATATATATACATCGAGGGCAGCTATAGATCGCCAACAGTATTAATAGCGTTGCATGCGCGAGATTTCTACAGGAAAATTTATAAGGTAAAATTAAATCGATTTATGACAGATAACGTTTTTTTTTTGTCAATATCTGTATTTTCTTTTTAGAGAAGAGGTGTGATACTGGTGACCCCAGTGTTAGACAGTGGCAAGGGTGTTGACAATGGCATATAAAAATTGACGGAAGACGGGCGACCCGGAAGGAAGTCAGGATGAGGAGGAAACGATACAGGCATCCGCTTCTGATCATTCATCCTTTCGTCGTCTCATTTATTTTCATTTGCAACGTTTCATCATTCGTTTTTTTTTTGTTTTTTTTTGGTTTTTTCTTTTATTTGATTTTTCAGAAAATTCATTTTTTTTTTTTTTTTGTTTGTTTTTTTAAACTGGAGGTGGGAAACTCGTTAAGATGTAACAAAAGTGAAATTTATTTGTTAAAAACATAATCATCATTTATTAGCAGTGACACATTTCTTTGCTGAGGGAATCTGGTCGAAAATGTTCGGTGTAAATCCTTCCCATAAGTCAGGGGTGCTTCACGTGTTTTGTGGTTTGTGTGCGTGAAACTGTACATATTTAATCTTCAGTTCAAAAAACATAGTTTCTGAATTTTTCAATACCTGTCTATATTTCTGAGATGAGGTATTGTAATTATTTACATTGTTTGGACTGTCCTAATCTTTATTGCCATATTTACCTTCAACATCTGTCTCTATTTCTCAGATGAGGTATTGTAACTATTTACACTATTTACGTTGTTCGGACTGTTGTCCTCATCTTCATTGCCATATTCATGACGTTTCAGCCGTTTTTTGGAGATTGGAATTTTGAACTGAGCCCTTTATTTCGTCCACTGGATTAGATTGTTCTAGTTCCACGTGCCATGCCGCTTATGTCTCAGTTATCCCCCTTTAACTCGATTACCCAAGTTTTTGTTCACCACTGCAGTAACATGGTATTGAACTCACAACTCTTTGTGTCAAGTCACTGAATCTAACCAACGCTTTTATCCACTGCGCCATGTTTCCTTGACGAAATAAAGAGTATATATGTCTATATTTATGAGATGAAGTATTTACATTGTTTGGACTGTTGTCCCCATCTTTATTACTCTTATTCACGACGTTTCGGCCGTTGTACTTATATCTTTTTCAGGTGATTTGGAATTTCTGAACTGAATTTATTTCAATTGGCCTTTTTTGTTTGCAGAGATGTCTGTCGATTTATTCTATAAACATCAACTGACAGAGTAAAGAAATGTTTTTCCGTGAGAAGTTTATTTATTTTCTCCAAAAAATGACTTATATAACGTGGCCGGACTTTTGACCAAGAGACATTTGGCTGAACGGACACTTGGCCGACGGACATTTCACTGAAAAAGTACAAGTAAAAATCAGCACTTTAAGTATTTTATTTAGCAGTATTATAAGGCTAATAATTACCAATGAATTTCAAGTGATTAAATTACTAAATCTAAATTTAAATTTAAAAGTTTTCTAATTTCAATATTTGTTATTGAAATTATTTATTTTAAAATATTTGACTGTATTTGGGTAAAAAAGTAAAACCTAATTATTTAAATTCGTATTTAACATTAAAGATTAAAGCTAGTTCATCCCTTTAAGATAATGATCATTAAAGCGTAACTGAAAACTTTCATATCGTAAAACTTAAGATTTTTCAGCGTAAAATATGCTTTTCTCAATCCACTTGTTAGTTTTACAGTAATATTTGAAGTAAAATATAATATATACAGAATAGATTAAAAAAGCCTTCAAAAAACAAAAACAAAAGAAAAACTAAAATTATATAGATATATGAAGCACATTATGATAAACAGTGTGACATACATGTAAGTACGCCACTACATTTTGGGCTAAATTTCCATTCGATTAAATTTCTGTCGGCCAAATGTCCGAGTACCCCTATATAAAGCAGGTTTTGGAATAGTACCCAACAAAATGGAATAAAAATAGAATTAAAAAAAAAATGTACTTGATTGAGAGTAGCTAAGCTAGCTAAGAATAATTCCCAGTTCCCTGAGATGGTCTCTGACTGAGGATGTATTGTTGCAGTAATATTCTTAGCAATTTCTTCTTTTTTTTTTTTTTATTGTGAGAAGTTGGTAGCACCACACCCAACCGTTTTTTGAATCTAGTCCCAGTTCTCGTTTGGTTGCTAACAAAAGATCATCTGCCGCAAGAAAGGTTGGTTCTCTGTGTCGCGCCAGAAGATTTTTTTCTCGTCTGAATCTATCCTTCACATCTACAAATCACCATTCGTCCATGGTATTATGTTTCCATATATGGCCTGGTACCACCGCTGTTCATCTGAAGGTCCTCGACAAAATCCAAAGACGGATATGCAATGTGTTTGGTCCTGACTTCGGCTCCAGTCACTTTCTCACCGGTATGTATTTTCCGTTTTTTTTTTCTATAAATATTTTCATGGCATCTGCTCTGACGAACTATTTTCACTCCTACCCAGACTGCAGGATTTTAAGCTTGCTACTAGGTTGGCATTTCGGTCGTACCCTTTTATTGTCGAAACAGTTAAATATAACCATCTCTTCTACTCCAACATTTCTTTTCAATTTGAAACCTCCCTTCCTCTTAGCTGCTTCCTTGAGAAGTATAATCTTCAAAAATTAAATGCAATGTCAATCGACATCTTTTGAAGCCTGATTCCCGTTCTTGTTCTTATCCTTTCCTCAATCTCCCCTCCCATACCCAGTCTTTTTTCATACTTTCTTTCTGTAGCCCGTTGCGTATTAGTGGCACTCCTTTGCTGATCAATGCTGAAAAAAATGAAAAAAAATAATCAGTTTTTGGTTAACCCTTTTCTGGACTTGAAGAAGAGATGGATTCTAAATTAAAATGGTTACTTTGTCTGATTGTTTTTATTTTTATGTTTTAAGTTCAAAAATTGTCACCATTTTGTTTTTCTTTCCTTATTCTTCATTTGCTTATTAAGGGCTTTTCCATGTTTACTTTTTATTTTCTTATTTCTTTTATTCTGCCCATGTTTATATTCTTTTCTCTTATTTTTTGTCGTCATTCGCTTTCTTTCTTTTTAATTTTTTGCTGTTTTTATAAAGAGCTTTCACTTTTTTCAAGAAAAAAAAGATGATTTTTTCGTTTTCTTATTTGGCTTTACTTTATTTCCTTTTTCTTTCTTTTTTATTTCATTTCTTTCTTTCTTTCTCTCTTTCCTTTTTCTTTCTTTGAATTTTCTTTCTTTTTTATTTCATTTTTTCTTTCTTTCTTTCTTTCTTTTTTCTTTCTTTGAATTTTCTTTCTTTTTTTCATTTCTTTCTTTCTTTCCTTTTTTCTTTGAATTTTCTTTCTTTTTTTCTTTTTATTTTCTTTCTTTTCTTTTTCCTTTTCTTTTTTCTTTCTTTTTCTTTCTTTTCTTTCTTTCTCTCTTTCCTTTTTCTTTCTTTTTTTCAATTTTTATTTTTCTTTTTAATTTCTTTTTCTTTCTTTGCATTTTCTCTTTTTGGTTTTTTTTAATATTTTCTTTCTTGTTTCCTTTTTTTCCTTTTCATTTTTTTTCATTTTCTTTCTTTTTTTTTTTTTTCCTTTTTTTTCTTTTTCTTTCTTTTTTCTTTTTGTTTTCTTTTCTTTTTTATCTTTTTTTTTTCTTCTATTTTTCTTTCTTTTTTTTTTTTCTTTTTGTATGTTTTCTTTCTTTCCTTTTTCTTTCTTTTTCCCTTTTTTCTTTTTTCTTTTTTAATTTCTCTTTTCTTCCTCTCTTTTCTTTTTTTCTTTCTTTCGTCTTTTTCTCTTTTCTTTTTTTCCCTTTCTTTTTTTCTTCTTTTTTTCTTTTCTTTTCTTTCTTTTTTTCTTTTTTTTTTTTTTTGTTTCTTTTCTTTCTTTTTTCTTTCCCTTTTCCTTTCTTTTCTTTTCTCTACTTTCTTTCTTTTTGCTTTCTTTCGTTTTTCTTTTTTTTCTTTTTCTTTCTTTTTCTTTACTGTTTTCTTTTCTTTTTTATATTTCTTTCTTTTTTCTATCGATTTTTCTTTTCTTTTTTCTTTCTTTTTTCTTTCTTTTTTCTTTTCTTTCTTCTTTTCTTTCTTTTTTCTTTTTCTTTTGTGTGTTTTCTTTCTTTTTCTTTTCTTTCCTTTTTCTTTCTTTTCCCTTTTCTTCCTATTTTTCTTTTCTTTTATCTTTCTTTTTTCTCTTCTTCTTCCTCTCTTTCTTTTTCTTTTCTTTCTTTCGTCTTTATTGTCTTCTTTTCTTTTTTCTCCCTTTTCTTTCTTTTTCTTTTTTCTTCTTTTCTTCTTTTCTTTTCTTTCTTTTTTCTTTTCTTTCTTTTTCTTTTTTTCTTTTTGTTTCTTTCTTTTTTTTTTTCTTTTCTATTTTCTTTCTTTTCTTTTTTCATTTTTTCTTTTTCTTTCTTCCTATTTTTTCTTTTTTTTTTCTTTTTTTTTCTTTTTTCTTTTCTTTTTTTTTCTTTTTTTGTTTTACTTCTTCTTTTTTTTTTTTTTCTCCCTTTTTTTTCATCTTTTTTTCTCTTTTTTTTTTTTTTCTTTTTTTTTTTTTCTTTTCTTTTTTTTCTTTTCTTTCTTTTTCTTTTTTTCTTTTTCTTTTGTTTTCTTTCTTTTTCTTTTCTTTCCTTTTTCTTTCTTTTCCCTTTTCTTCCTATTTTTCTTTTCTTTTATCTTTATTTTTTCTCTTCTTCTTCCTCTCTTTCTTTTTCTTTTCTTTCTTTTGTCTTTACTGTCTTCTTTTCTTTTTTTCTCCCTTTCTTTCTTTCTTTTTTCTTTTCTTTCTTCTTTTCTTTCTTTTTTCTTTCTTTTACACTTCACCTCTATTTATTACAGTTTGCATATTAAAATCCTCCATTATTGTTTTCACTCTTTGAACTATATTTTCTTTCAACTCCCCAAAATCCTTTTTGACTCCTTGCAGCTTTTATTAATCTTGCCTTTCCCAACTCTCCCCAATGTCTTCCTACGTCTCATTCTTCCATTTTCTCTTCCCATTCTTTCTTTCTTTTTCTAATTTTGCCAGACAGCCAAAGTTATGAAGCACTTCCATCATTATCCTAATATCAAAGCAGTAAGCGCTGGAGTTTTCCCATTTCCACATCACCGGAAGTAAATATCCAACCCGACTCCATCACTGTACAGACCCTTCTCCACAACTTTCCATCAACGCCAATAACGCAATAATTTGGATAGCAAGATGGATGAAGGAAGGGGTCGATTTAGGGTTAATCAAATTGTCGCCGCCTTGTCTGATGACAGTGCATGTGTCATCGGTTTACGTGCAAATGCTACTTTCTGGTATCAAACGAGACTTCTCTGTCTATAACGAGACTTCATCGTATCTAATGAGAATTCATGGTATCTGACGAGAAATCTCTGCATGCAATAAGAATTTTTTGAATATAACACACTCTAAGTATCTAATAAGACTCCTTAGTGGCTATGGAAACTTCGGAATCTAATGAAACGTTTTTTTTTTGTATTGGACAAGGACTTAAGGTATATAATATCTTGCCAGCTATGGAGGCTGCTCAGTTTTTTAAAAAAAATACATCTCGTCATCGAACGAGACTTTATTTTGGTCTTTAACAAAAACTCAGGGTTAATTCTTTGTATTTTACCCGATTTCTCGAAATTTAGAGAGATTTTTTTCTGTATCTAACTAGACATTTTTCCATTTAATGAGACAACGCAAAATCTTAAGAAATTCATAGAATCAAGGAAATACAGACTTATAACACCGTAGCAGCTTCTTGCTTCAAAATACAACCAACCAGGACTGAATGCTACGGTCTGTCGTAAAATGCAGGCTACTACCAAAGACTCAGACACCTACCGGAAAATGCAACCAACCACCACTGAATGCTACGGTCTGTCGTAAAATGCAAACTTCTACCATTGAATGCAGCCTTCTTCCATTCGAGTAGACTTCTGTCGCAAAATGTAACCTTCCTACACAGCCTGCCGTAAAATGGAACCTTCATATCACTGTATGCAAAAGTCTGCCACAAAATACAACTTTCCACCACTAAATGCTACAGGCTGCCGCAAAATGCAAACGTCTAACACTGAAGCACACTTCTACCAGAAAATGCAGCATTCCACCATTGACTGCTATAGTCTGCCGCAAAATGCAACCTTCTACCAACGAAGAAGTCTTCTGCCGCAAAATGCAAGCTTTTATCACAGTATGTCCCCTTTTACTAAATAACGTTCTCGTAAAATTCAATTTTTATTATTATGATCAACTAAAAAGTATTCAATTTATAGTGAACTAACTTAGAGCCAATTTATTGAACTACGGAGACTTTAACGTAATTTAAGACGAGTGAGCGCCATTTTTATATAATTTTTAAGTACTTCTGTAATCTGCCAAAGTAGAGAGTTCAACAGTCATGATCTGGTGCTGGTTACACCATTCATTCATTATACCTTTTGAGCGGCGCAGTACTTATAGTGTCAGTAAGAGTCCATTATCGTTATAGGAAAGTTCCCATAACAGTATCCGACTCCCTATTGTTACAGGATCAGATACAAAAAAATGGCGTTTTGCTGCTCTAAAATCAGTTGTTAAGAAGTGGCTTCTTAATTTTATCACCCCCAAAACGAAGCTGCTCTCTTTTAATTCATCATAGGGAATCCTTTTTGCCTCCCATCGATATGGCTGATGCTAACCATCAAGGGGAGTAACTCTCAGCGCCTTCTTGGTCTCACGTTTTTCACTGATATGAAGTAAAGTGATTATATTGAATCGATTGCCTGGTCTGCTACTTGGAGAATTGGGTCACTGTATCATGACAGACAATTTTTATCGGGAGAATACATCGTCCGTATTTATAAATCTACCTTTCGTCCATGCATTGAATATTACCACCATGTCTGGTCTGGGGCTCCTACTATATATCTCGTGATTCTCGATAAAATCCAAAGTCCGTCCTGAGTATGACGATAAACTACACCCGCGTCCCGGGAATGACATTAAACTACATCCGCGTCCTGAAACTACATCCGCGTCCTGGGTAAGACGATAAACGACATTCGCGTCCTGTGTAGGACAATAAACTATATCCTCGTCCCGGGAAAGGCGATAAACTACACCCGCGTCCTGAAACCGCATCCGCGTCCTGAGTAAAACTACATTCGCGTCCTGGGTATGACGGTAAACTACATCCTCGTTCTGAGTATGACAATAAACTACATCCGCGTCCCGGGAAAGATGATAAACTACATCCGCGTCCTGAAACTACATCCGCGTCCTGGGTAAGACGATAAACGACATTCGCGTCCTAGGTATGGAGATAAACTACATCCTCGTCCCGGGAAAGGGGATAAACTACATCCGCGTCCCGGGAAAGACGATAAACTACATAAGCGTCCTGGGTGAGACGATAAACTACATCCTCGTTCTGGGTAAGACGATAAACTACATAAGCGTCCTGGGTAAGATGATAAACTACATCCTCGTCCTGGGTAAGACGGTAAACTACATCCGCGTCCTGGGTATGACGATAAACTACATCCGCGTCCCGGGAAAGACGATAAACTACATCCGCGTCCCGGGAAAGACGATAAACTACATTCGCGTCGTGAGTAAGACGATAAACTACATTCGACAGCAAGTCCTCTGATTTTAAGGAGCGTAGTACCACCTCTTAATTGCTGGTGTTCTCAGGTCCACCTTGACCCGGAGTGGTAGCACCTGTTAGGGTCTAAACTATGGGCAAATAGTTAACCCCAAACTGGGGTCAAAACACTATGAAAGTGTAAAAATAGGTTTTAATACTAGCAATACATTTCTGATGAGAATAAATATTACCAGCAATATATTTTGAAAAAGATTATTACCAGCAATAAAAATCTTGTTGTCATTAAATAACCCATTGAGGTTGAAATGCCATAAATCAAAACAAACCAAACCAAGCTAAAATCCAAAGTATCTGTAATGTTATCGGTCCTGACGTGGCATCTCGACAACAGACACTTTCACAACACCATGACGTGGCTCTCCTGTGTCTTTTCTATAAATGTTTTCGTGGCAATTGTTCTGATGAGATCTCCTCCTTCGCACCTCAACTACATGAATATAAGCGTGCTGCTAGATTGCCAATTAGGTCTCAACGTTTTACTGCTGAACTATCTAGATGTAATCGTAAATTTTATTCTAATAGTATCTTTTCTCACTTCTCACCTGTGGAACTTTCTCTATTTCCTGCTTCTCTGCAACATACGTTCTTCAAAAATTTAAATACTGTTATAGGACCTTACCCATAATAACATAATGGACTATTCCATACGTAATAAATACTGCGCCTCAAGAGGAAGCAGGGAGTTCAGTCGAAGTCGGGCGACCGGCTGATCGGCTGATCGGTTGAACTCTCTGCCTTCGGGCGGGAGAACCCGAACGAGGCTACGCCGAAGGGCGGAGTCTCTTTTCGGAAGGTAAACCGACTCTGAACTCGTTTATACGGGTTCAAAGGGCATATTACACAGCCGAGCCCACGGGCTCGGAGATCCCACATTAAACCGGCCTTGTGCCACATGATGCCCTCGTGGTGGTGGGGGGGTGACTAAATACCGTTCAGTTTGAAGTCGGTCGACCGGCTGATCGGTTGAACTCTCTGCCTTCGGGCGGGAGAGGAACCCGAACGAGGCTACGCCGAAGGGCGCAGTCTCTTTCGGGGAGGTAAACCGACCTGAACTTGTTTATACGGGTTCAAAAGGGCATATTTTTGGGCCGAGCTCATGATGCCCTCGTGGGGTGGGGTGACTAAATACTGTCCAGTCTGAAGTCTGGAGGGGTCCGTCAAGAAGTCCGTCAGGAGTCAGTCCAGTCAGTGGTCCAGAGCGAGCGGAGTCAGTCAGTCGAGTCAGAGGCAGTCCAAAGCAGAGTCACGTTCAGACAATTTACTAAACCTGATTGTTTTTTAACACTTTTTACCTCTCTGTATATATTCCTGTTTGTAATATATCTGTGTTATTCCATATACGTGTTCGAGTTCTTCTTTATTGGTTCTACCTTGGACTATCGCCGTGGTACAAGGACCGGACCATGACAAATACAAAGCCAATCGCCATCTGCTCTCTCCCTGAAACCTGTTCTTTATTGTCCTTTTCCTCATGAAGGTCTTCTCATTCTCTTTCACTCCCAGTAACCCCTTGCATCTTAGTGGCATTATCGTTATCTTCTATCTTCCTGAAACCGCTTCTTTTATTGTCTTTTTTCCTCGTTAAAGACTTATCCTTCTCTTTCACTCCCAGTAACCTCTTGCAGATTAGTGGTATTATCGCCATCTTCTGTCTTCTTGAATATCCGTTCTTTTATAGTTCTTTTTACTCACTAATGTCTTCTCGTTCTCTTTCACTAATGCTTTGGTTGAGGTGAAATGATTAAAAAATATCTGGACAAGAGTTGCTTAGTCCTTCTTTTCCAGTCTTGAGAAGAGCCCAATAACTCTTTCGCGGCCTTGTGGGTGATGACATATTTACCAGCTTACAGGATCCCATTCTCCTAGACGCAACAACACAAGCACATCGTTCTTCTATCGTTACTTCTATGATAAATGGTCAAACGAGTTCTCTTCTTTTGTGCCACCGGCTCAGAGGTTTCCAGCCAACGCCCACCTTGTTACGCCCATAAATTTGAACGCTCCCCAACCGACGTTTCCTACGTATTCATTTGGCTTGAAGGGTGTTCGACTTCTAAAATTCCACCCAAGATATGCTGCCTTGTGAAAACCGCTCTGGTGTATATACTGCCCTGAATGCTAAAATGGTTACCTAGTCTAGGATCAGTTATTATCTATCCGTCATATGTCATACATACATACATATATATATATATATATATATATATATATATATATATATATATATATATATATACGCATATATATTATATATATATAATGAAATGATAAAAAAAAAAACGAAAGAATATTAATCTACAACCCAGTGTGTCTGAAGATTTTAATTTTTTAATATTTCTTTTTATTGTTCAATATATATATATATATATACTTCATTTCCGTTCATATCATTCAGTAACCATCTTCCTTGACTGGCTCTTGGTCCTTATATTGGATGAAAAAAATAAAAACGCGACAAAATGAGACTAATCAGTCAGTCCTATGAGTTTGATAACTCTCATGACCAAAAGCGGTTCATCAAAGAATAATAATAATAATAATAATAATAGTAATAATATATTTGTCAGTAAAAAATGCAGATTCTGGATAAATATCCAGAAACAATTGACCATCTTGTATCAGGGTTGCATGGTATTGTCACCCGATGAATATAAAACCCGGCATGACACGTAAGGCCAATATCTGCACTGGAAAATCTGCAATTTCTACGGGAAGAAAACTGAAAAGAAACTGGTATGAACGTGGCACCCAGACCCGGTTACGGAGATGGGACCTGTTACAATTCTGGGGGACTACACAATACACACTGACAGAACAATCAAGGCCAGCTGCCCAGATATTATTATTAAAGACCATAAACAAAAACGGTGCATCCTTATTGATATGGCAGTCCCTGCTGACTGCAATGTATCTTTGAAGATATTCAAAAGCTATCAAAATACAAGGACCTTGAAATAGAAATCATGAAAATGTGGCGCGTGGAAACATCAACAATCCCTGTTGTAGTTGGAGCCCTAGGGTTGGTTGGAAAATATTCAGTAGACTCATTAAAGGGATTCCTGGAAGTCCATACCTCAAGGAGATACAAAAAATTGTTCTGACAAGTACAGCCCACACTTTACGAAGGGATTTATCTATGTATTTTTTTTTTTTTGTCGGTGGAAAGTGTCTTGATGCCATTTCTAACCTTAGGTCCCTGGGCGGGACCCGGAAAGAAATGTGTACACGCCAGAAATTAAAGATAATAATAATAATAATAATAATAATAATAATAGTAGTAGTAGTAGTAGTAGTAGTAGTAGAAGTTATCTGATCTTGCAGTTTACTATAACTGTAGTGAGTTCGATCCTCAGTGGGTTCTCCAGGTAACCGTAGTTATAACAAACAGGAACCATAACAACAACAACTTTCGCTGTCGGTCAAAAAAGCCCCTCGAGTATGAGGTGGAGGGAATTTTTTATAAAATACCTCTTCCCTCACCTCTTCCGCCCATCCAAAAGGAAGGCTACTAAAGCGGAGGAGAATGAGGATTTCGCGCCTTACGACTCCCCGGTCGACATCGCTGCTCCAATCACATAAGTCTATTCTTCGTTATTTCCGGCACTCTCTTTTTTCTTCTTTTAAGACTCTTTTCCTTCCATTGCCTAAATTTTTCTTTATTCTTTTCTTTCATTTTTTCTTCACTGATGAATCTCATTCGTTTTCTTTTAATACATTTTTCTTTACCATTTTTTCGCCCTTTTACTGCCATTTTAATTTTCATTTCGTCTTTCTTCCTTTTGTAAATTTTCCTTCCTTTCCACTTTTTTTTTTTTTCTTATTCTTTTCTTTTTTGTCATTTCAAAACATTTTTTTTTTTTTCTGATCTTGTAACCATTTTTCTTTTCTTTAATTTCTTCTTCCTCGTTTTGTTTTTGTTTTGTTTTGTTTTATCTTTTCTTATCGAAAATAAATTCCACTGACAAGACCATCTTCCTTGATTGGCTCTTGGTCCTTATATTGGATGATAAAATAAAGACAAGAAAGAAATAAGACTTCAGCAATCAGTCTTATGATTTTGATAACTCTCCTGATCAAAAGCGGTTCATCATAGAATAATAATAATAATCGTGGACTCTCCCGTCGTTGATCGCCTACCGGGGACCCTTTTACGACGTATGAGGGTCAGGCCTAGGAAACGACAGCCAGACAGCCTGTAGATGTGATTTGATTGTAGTGGTGAAGGTTTTGTGCTGAACCCTCCACACTTTTTGAAGGGCCGAATACAGAGACATGGTGCGCCGTGTGCCCCAAGGTCCCCAAACGACCCTCCATAGGTTTTGAATTCAGAGGTGTCCTACTCCTAAACCAGTTGCCATCCAAGGCTATAGAACCCAGTCTGTCCTGCTATTTACCCGTAACTTGTGGGTGGGGGATTCATACCTTTCTCAAGGACTTAAATGATTGTAACGGATTCGACTGGAATTCGACCTCGGCTCTCCGATTCCTCAGCCGCCACCCATTACTCAACCGTGTCCCCTTTAATTTTGTAATAACAACAACAACAGCAACAACAACAACAAACAACAACAACAACAACAACAATAATAATAATAATAATAATAATAATAATAATAATCTACTCTTGCAATTTACTATTACTGCAGTGAGTTCGATCCTCAGTGATTTCTCTATACTTGTGGCCTTGTGTCAGACTAAGCTAATCTAATAAATATATCCCAAATAATCTGGTCGGGCAAATGAAAAAAGAAGAAAAAGAAAAGAAAAGATAAACTTAAAGATAAATAAAAATCTAAAAAAAATGTCGAAAATGAATTCAACTGAAAAGACCAGCGTGGAGTTAATTGATGAATGACCGGGTTGCAAAAGAAAACGCCCTTCATTTGCGACCCTCTCCGCTAGGGTCAGGTAACTAAAGTAATAACAGATAGGAACAATAATAACTTGCTTCACTGTCGGCTAAAAAGCCTCTCGAGTAGGAGGTGAAGGGATTTTTATAACATACCTCTGCCCTCACCTCTTCCGCCAATTCAAAGGGAAGGCTGCTAAAGCGGAAGAGAGTGAGGAGTTCGCGCCTTACAATCACGTAAGTCTATTATTAGTTATTTCCGACATATAAAAATGAAGTGATACCCAAATGATTTATTTAAAAACATATGCAGTCAGTTCATAGTGCCGGTGTAGAGGTTGACCATATATATATATATATATATATATATATATATATATATATATATATATATATATATATATATATATATTACTATAGAACCCGGTCTGTCCTGCTATTTACCTATAGCTGGGGGGAGAAGAAGAGGATTCATACCTTTCTCAAGAATATTAGCACGTAAGTGAGTATAATGGGTTCGATTGGAATTCGAACTCGGCTCTCTGACTCCTCGGCTGCTGTCCATTACTCCACCCTGCCCCCTTTAATTTTTTAATAATAATAATAACAATAGCCATAATCTACTTTTGCAGATTACTATTATTGCAATGAGTTCGATCTTCTGTGAGTTCTCCATACTTGTGGCAAAAGAAAACGTCCTTCCTTTGGCACCCTCTCTACTAGGGTCAGGTAACCACAGTAATAAGCGATAAAAACAATAATAACAACTTGTTTCGCTGTCGGCCAAAAAAGCCCCTCGAGTATGAGGTGGAGGGGATTTTTTATAAAATACCTCTGCCCTCACCTCTTCCGCTAATCCAAAGGGAAAGCTACTAAAGCGGAGGAGAATGAGGATTTGGCGCCTTAGGACTGCCCGGTCGACAACGTCGCTCCACTCAAGTAAGTCTATTCTTTGTTATTTCCAACAAAACTACAGGATATAATATACATCGGAAGGTATTTAATCGAAAATTAAACAAGTTTCAGAAAACAAGTAAAATATACGAGGAGGTGCTCCGAAAGTAATGCCTCCTTTTTTTTTTTTTTTTTTTAACCCTACCCTCCAAAAAATGAAACAGACCCAGGGAGTATGATAACACCGTTGGATAGGGCAATTTTTCACCTACAGTACACTATTTTCCACATAGTTATCCTATATGAAATTTCATAAGTGAGGCATAAGCGTTTACATGTTCGTGGATTGATAGCCGTGCAGGGCCGCTCAGAACATGATATATCAAACAGTACCACTGAAACGAACTATCCACCGGATAACTCTGCTCAAATCCACTCTTTGGTTTCCGTAAACATTCAGAACACACCGTTGAACAGCAGTTTTTCCACAAAGTTAATTGATACACATCCGCTCTATACACACTTTCATTTCAGACGCTATTTTGCCAAGCTGTCGTCTGCAGCAATTTCAAAATATATTAGGAAGGTTCAAGTTATCCCACCATGCTACAAGTATCCGCCTCTGACGGCCTGTGTTAACACGATAAAACAAGAGGCAACATTTTCGTAGCAACCCTTGTAGAAAATAGTGTTTCCTTACCTTCTCTCACGGTGATGTACACACCCGTATAAAATTCTATCAGCAGATGTTGACGTATCTCTCTTGAAGAAATAAAGGCTTTATTTTAAGCATCGTATTTTATCCGGCTTTCTAACATAAACAGGAGCCCCTTTCAGTTGAACGCGAAGTTGAAAAATGGAATTTTAATAAGTAGACACCCTTTATGTATAAAAGTGAATGGATGCAAATCTTGTCATTAGCCTCACCGTAATTACGTAGCAATATCGACATAAGTTGATTGACTCCATTAACATGTAAGACGGTGGGATCATGATCTCGACAATACATTAAAGAGCTTTGCATAATTATAATTAAGTGTATATTGGGCAATATCCTGCATTTTATCGATTTGTCTGTCTGGTGATTCCAGATTTTAGTATTTCATATATATATATATATATATATATATATATATATATATATATATATATTTGGTTGGATAGATGTGAGTTTGTGACCCTGGGTTTCACGCTTTAGCGATCGTCAGACAAACTGATTAATGTTTTAAAAAAATTGGGTTTATGTAAATAGCGTGTATTGGTGTTATCGTGGAAGTGGTGGGGGAAATTTCGTCGTTTTGTCATTCATCGTACGAACGCAAACATCGATATATGCAGACACATATACATACTTGGTCGTCCGTCGGGACTCATACATATATAAACATATGTGGGCAGTTTCGGCAAGGCGTGAAGCCACTAGGATGCAGGGGGTTGCAGAAGATTTTGAGCAAGAGCAGATAGGAGTGATAGAAGAAAGGATGAAGAGTGGATAGATCAAGGTAACTGGAGATGTCGATTGACATTACATTTGAATAGTTGGAGATTATAGCTCTCAGGGAAACAGTAATTGGGAAGGGTGTTCCACAGGCGTGAGGTGCGAGGTATAGAGCTATTGGAGTAGAAGAGACGGCTACATTTAAAAGTTTCTATAGTGTAAGTGTGGGAGCGGGATGCCAGCCTCGTAGGGCGCTTGAATTCATGGAGTCTGGGAACCAGTGAAAGCAGCTCATCAGAGCAATTACCATGAAAGTATTTGTAGAAAAAAGACAGAGAGAGGCGACAACGTCTGTGAGAGAGTGACTGCAGACGAGACGCCAAATCAGGGACCAATAATATTACATATCCGTCTCTGGATCTTGTCAAGAACTCCGATATATATATATATATATATATATATATATATATATATATATATATATATATATATATATATATATATATATATATGTATAGATGTATAGGAGAGTTGATAGTAAATTCTAATTCAAAAAATAATTATAATTATCATCTATAATAATATATCTATCTATAAATATCTGTCACAGTCTTTCCCTATCAATTTATCTGTCTGTCTTTTTTAATTATCTATCTCTCTATATATCTCATTCTTTTTCCTATCTATCTATCTATCTATCTATCTATCTATCTATCTATCTATCTCAGTCTATTCATTATCTATCCCTCTATCTCAGTCTGTTCTTAACGATCTATCTATCTATCTATCTATGTATCTATCTCTGTTCACATCTGTCTGATTTATATATTACATAATATTGCACCAAAATCATCTGTATATATATATATATATATATATATATATATATATATATATATATATATATATATATATATATATATATATGTAATAATAGGCTAAAAAACTTAATATTCCATGGTCATTCTGAAAATATACATGTATGGGTATTTATATATTTTGCATATGTATGTATATTTTCCACTATATTATATATATATATATATATATATATATATATATATATATATACAGATAATTCAAAATCGAATATGCGGAGCAAAGATATTTAAGAAAGGGCGAAAATGTTAACCAACCTCGCAACTCGGGTTTCCACTGTTCTGTCACCCATGAAATAAAAAAAAGGACATTTTATAGGATAAAATTAATATCGTGTAAAGATGGGAAAATAGAATTAGTCATACATTCAACATTTGAAGTGTTGGAGAAACATAATAGCTAATTATGTAAAACCCACATTATACAATCTGTATGAATAAATGCGAAATTGAAGCTCAATTCTCCCACCAATTCTGAGATTAAAACCTCCGGCTCCATTTTATATTAATTAACATTATTCTAAATCCTCAATATCTGTATTATATATTATCTACTTCTAGGTGATATCATACTTCAGGTTTAACTAATTTGCATATTGATTTTAAAAAAGTATATTTCATTAATTAACTGTCCTTCATTAGTGACCTTTTATTCAAGGATTGTTTTGATTTTCACATAAAAAATAGTTCTGTTTAGGAATATCGTCTTATATAGTGCAGAAAAGTGTTTGAAATTTGCATTTTACTTGTCCTTCAAAAAGTTGGCATCTATTTGTAAAACTTTTCTTATTTATAACAAGTCAATTTATGAATGAAATGTTCATTTAAAATTTTTGTTTCAAAGATTTCAAGCAGTGAAATTTGTTGCGTTGCGGGCGAAGGATTTCCTTTTGGTTTTGATATAAGATTTTTTAAAATTATTTTTAAATCTCTTGAAAATACGCCATGCTTCTTAAGGGTACTTTTTGATGGATTATATGAAGACTTATTATCAGCTACGAACCATTGGCAGTTACTTGACTTTTATAATAAGGAGTTGACTGGCCGTTGCATAATTTAAATATTGTTATTTATACCGTTCTGTACTTATAATGCACTAGTCCATTTTATTTAAGGGGGCAGGGAGTAAAATAAAATAATATAAAATAATAATATATACACATATATGTACATATACAAATAAATATATACAGATACTTACATATATCCAAATATAAAAAAATATAACTATAATTCGCTCACAAATATGTAGTTTTTAAATCTACTACAAATCTATACACAAATATGACATATCTACATATACAAATGTATATATATATATATATATATATATATATATAAATATATATATATATATATATATATATATATATATATATATATATATATATATATATATATATATAATATATATTAATTCAATGACTATACATACATACAACAATCCATTTTCAGTTAACAGGTAATATATTTCATCTTTCGAAAGTGATTTCCGAAAGAGCTCGGAAAAATAAAATACTAGAATTTTATTTTTTGAATTTATTTACTGAAAAAAAAAATTATAAGGTCATATTAGAAATGATATAAAATCTTAATCAAAAGTACCGTGTCTGTTATATTTAATGAAACTTGCATGAAAGAATGATTGCTGCCAAAATACGCACACGCACGCGCACACACACACACACACACACACACATATACATATATATATATATATATATATATATATGTAAAATATTTGTTTTAGAAAAATATTTTACATCACTGCACAAAAACTTTTATGCCTCGGAAATGAATCAAGCGATGTTTAGTCAACTATGAAAGATTTTATGTAGCAATGTAAAATATTTTTGTAATAAAAATATTATTCAAAAATATTTTGTTCTGCGTTGTATTGAGTACGATTTGCTAAAGAAGAATAGATTCTTAATCTGTCTGTCCATACCATTTATTTGGAAAATATATATATATATATATATATATATATATATATATATATATATATATATATATATATATATATATATATATATATATATATATATAAACTTTCATAACTGAATCAATAAGCTGGCAGATCCTCATACGTCGAAACCGACGGGGAGATATATATATATATATATATATATATATATATATATATATATATATATATATATAACGGGTATAGCAGCAAAATTATCCAAATCATGTAACATTATAATTGTCCATCCTACAAAATGTTTAATATCTAAAAAAGAAAAAAGAAAACAAAACTAATTCAGTTTCTTTTTTTACACGTTTTCAGATAAGATGTTTAGCTAACTTGACACCATTCATCGTAAGATCACTGAAAAATTCTTCGAGTTATTCAGCTAGAAACAGAACAGGCTAAAATAGTTTTGTCTTCCCAACTGAGCAATGGCGAGAGAAAAAGATCATTCAGGCCTACAGTAATGGTACCAACATTCATACAGTGGCTTTCATCTTCAAAGTCCATTCAAGAACCTATTATATATATATATATATATACATATATATATATATATAATCAGTAAATTTGTTATATAATTAGTGATTAATTAAAAACCTGTAAGAATATCTGTTTTCAATTTAATCGATATTTCAAAATATCTTTTTTTTTGCATTTATTACTGAACTGTC